CATATATACATTACTAATACAGTTTTTCAGGGCGACTTTTGTAGGAAAGACAAAAGAAACTTAGAGGGATTTTTTCCTCCTAGCCTAGGGGAAGGATAGATACGACCCCGTATTGGTGCAATGACAACCCAGAAGGGAATTTGAGTATCCTTTGAGCAAGGAAGTTCTGCCGGCAGCTTTTGAAGACACGATGGTGCAATCCGCGTTCGTGAAGCCATCGATTGTGGGTGTGCGATGGAGCCAAGTGAGTGTTGATGAGGAGGTATAGCACAGCAGCAGCCTCAGCATCTTCGCTGTGTGGACAGAATAACCGATGTGTCACCACACATGAGTAGGGCGATCGAGTAGAACGAGCAGCGAGAGGGCAGAGTGTGAGAGAGACGTGCGATCGCTATGAGGCCACACAGAGTCGGTCGGTGTGGAAATCAAGAGCCCAACGATGGCGGTGGCCCTAGCAAGGCCGTCATCACCGAGGCACTTTGCTGGTGCAGCAGGGACAGCGAAACGCGTCGTCGCTTGCCGCCTCGCGACGTGGTGGTTCCGCGTCCGGCATATTCCATTGTTGGTCTTTAGATACCTGGGACCATGAGAAAACGGTCGAGATCCAAGTAACCTTGAATGGAAGTTCTTTGTTCGAAATAGGGAATCCGTTCTGGCCATTTCCCTAGCCAGCTGTCGCGTGTCGCAACATTGGATCTCTCGCGGCGCCAAGTGTTCAAATTCGTAGCGGGAGACGGAGTTCTTCCTTTGTGTCGCCCGCAATGCCCTTTTGCTCTGTTTCTCAGCAAACTGCTGCCATCTCACTCGGTTTCATAACGCTCTACCTACCCGCGTTGTCTGTTGTCGAATCAACGCATGGAAATCTCGCTTTCAGTCTCCTTCTATAGTCTTGGGCTGAGCGTTTTGTGTTATGTGAATGTATTGGCATGTTATGCAGCTGTGCTAGTATTATTGACGTATTTCATAAGTCGTGCACAAATATTTTGTCCTCAACAATTACACATTCATAGGATTCTGTGCTGTGCTGGTGGCGGCGGCGAATGAAACGAAAAATGATTCGTTGCGCTCCAAGGTGCGACCGTGTGAGTGAAACTTGTCGAATGATGATCTGTGCAGGCAACTGGCAAAGGTCAATAACTGAGTCGAAAAAACGCCTATTTGCGTTCCCCAGTTCGCGATGCTATCCGCAATTCGTTGCACTCTTGCTCAAGTTCTAGTCGTCGTCTCTTCTATTTCGCGATCACTGTTTCTATCGCTTTGTCAGCACTATTGATCATTATCAGTTGCCGTGCAATCTTTCGTGCAAACATTTAATGAATCAAAAACTCAGGGTGCAGTGTGAGGCAAATGAGGATGGTTTTTCTTTGAAGACCCTTCATCAATTTTCGTGCATTATCAAGTTATTAATGTGGAAGTTTGCCGAGGAATTATTCAGGAAAATAGTTCAATAAGTCACTTGACTCATTACAATAAATGCATAGTGTGATGATGGTCATAATGATGCTGTAACGTTTTTTTTCCTATGTGGAGCGTGACTGCGTGTGTTCAAGTCGGACTGAATAGGAGTTGTTTCTTATACAAAAACGAGGACGCGGCGTTCCAGTGTTCATATATAGATATCTCTGTGTGTTCATCTATTCATTTACAACCAACTATTTTCAATACTGCAGTTCTCTCTTTCTTATTTTCCTATCGAAGCTTAAAGGAACAGTTGTCATTCTCCACAACGAAAGCCTGTTGCGTTGTGATTTCAAATATTCACGAATAATTGATTGCATCTGAATCTAAGCATGGTGGTTTGCCGGGATTCTGAGGTGATTCCCCTTAATTTTACCTTTCAGAGTGCCCCTCCATTTTCAACCCGCGATTCTTCGGTGGATGTATGTATTAGCGTAATCGGCCTATTCATGACTCTTCTACCCTTCTCAAAGCCCGCAAACCTCCTCCATTTGCCCATAAACACATGAGACCGCACATATATTCAAAGCTTTTCCTATGAACTCCCTCGAAATTGGAATCCAGCAGTGCTTCTCTCAAAAGTTTCTACGTGCAACCTTCTCTTCGGTAGTCTTCCACTTTCGCACCCCCTTCTTGTTTATGGAACTTTCGAATTTCAGAGAAAGGGCTGCTTTAGCCTAGCTAGCTTTTTTGTTGACGCACTGGAGATATATTTTGGCAACCAAAAGTAAGGTCAAAGGTTCAACAGTGCGATATCACTGATAGAAATGGTTTTTAATTAAGTATGTTTTCAATACGTGCTACCTTGTTGAAGTAGTACGACACAGGGTTTTCTGACAACAGTGATGTTTGTTCGTGTATTGATCGCGGACCGATGTGTATGGGGGGTCTCGCAAGGTGTGCAGCAGCGCATGCGCACCAAAACAACTGCACGGGTCACTCACTCGTTCGTTCGGCCACTCAACATACTCGCTAACCGCCGCCACCGCCGCCACCCACTGCCGCCATCGCCAGCCACTACTGACGCCCATCGAACGATTCCCACAAGAATCAGGAACTATCGATTCGCCTTTATTTGTCCGTCTGCGATGACGAGTTCGTTTAGTTTCTCTTTTTTTCGGCAAAGTATAACAGAATTGTTGGAATGACTTTTTTTTCATTTTCTGGGTAGCCATTTTCCTAGCAAGCAGCCATTGGTGAATAGAGAATGCGCAGAAATCGAAACTGAATGACATTGTGCTGCTCTGCATCAATTTTTACTTTGAGCAAAAAACCTAGTCGTCGAGCTTCGTTAAAGTCGTTGTTTTTATTCCCGCGGCATGAATTTCTTCTTCCAAGATGCAGATCTCAGAAAAACTAGTGCTGTTGTTGTTACCTCCTCGACTTTCTGTTCAGCTTTCTTTTTATCTTCTTGTTCTTCTTATCAATTATCGGGAAGGTAGCAGTGTTAGCTGATTCGGTTCTCTAGCAATCATTATTCGAGTTTTTGCACTATTAAAAAGGTAGTTGTACTTGTCGGTAATAGATATTTCGAAAGTGAACAACGAAAAATCCCTCGACTGCATCCGGAAATTTTTGTGGTTCAAGATTCCGTACACCACATTCATCTTTTACTCTTTTCCTCAGTGTTCTATTTGAAAAGTTTAAATTGAACAAGAGACTTAATGCAAACCTTTCCAATCCTAGTTATCTTCGCTAAGTAGGACTCATAGGTCGTCAAAAAGGCAGCCAAAGAGAACTTCGAACAGTTTTTTGACGATGGTGTGATTTGTTGCTAACAGTGGAATAGTCAGCGGCGCATGACATTTTCACGAATTGTGCTCAGTTAACTTATTTCACAGGAAGGCTCTTCTTCACAAAATTGAAGTAAGCTTCCCCTACTTAATTGCTGCAATTCGATCAGTTGAAGTTTCGGCAAACTTTGATGAGTTTTTTTTTTACTTGGTTCGGACTTTTCACCACGCTGACAGCCGTCCCCATTGGTAGATCCTGAGACTGCAGTGATTTTGGTCATGAGTGAAACGTTTTGTGTCGTACAAGGCTCGAACACTATGTCTTTCTAGGCCCCTGTATGACGCGTGGGGTCCTTACCCAATACCCCACGCGTCATACATGCACAAAAACAAAAACATGTTATATGCTGTTCTCATTCTATTCTTATTGAGTAATATTGAATAACTGTATTTACTGCGTTGCTTCCGGGGGTCTAGTCACTGAACTGTAGTTGAATGTATCAGCTTGTATCGTGTAATCAGCGTGCGGCGTGATCACAACATTCAATTTTACTTAGTTATATACCTACAAGCAATAATTATCGTCTACTTATTTACTCGGTTTCGTAATTCACTGATCAACAGGTTGTTGTAGGATGATTACAATTCATGCTGCAATCAAGCAATTCAAAGAATATGTCCCATTCCAGTCAAATCTGCTCATGTCTGTGGCAACGAGGTGTTGCAGACATAGAACATCGAATTTGCTTGTGTAGTGGCGAGAAACTCTTGTTATTTAATTAGACAGTTTAGGACCAAAATGTGTTTTCTTAAAACAAGAAATTGAATGGAATTGGCGCAGTCCATACGGCTCGAGTTAGCTTCCAGAAAATTGCGAATCAGGTTGATTCTTTCGCTGGATACCTTTTCAGCGTCCATATTTTTCCATGCTGATTCTGCCTGGGTATTGGATGCAGCAGCTCAACATTTTTTCAGATGGCTAAAAAAGTTGTTATGTATGAATGTATGTTCGTAATGCTTCCGTTATGTTATGTTACGAGTTGGTAGTAGAATTGTCGCTTGGTAACAGAGTTGTCTCGGAGGTCAAAAACGCGACTTTCACATTGGGTATCCCGGCAAGTCCTTGTGTAAACTGTAAAGCATTCAAATGCCTTGAGGATTTTGAGTGGACCTCCGGCGCGTGGCGTATCTTCATATGTTATTGATCAGCGTCAAACGCTCCTACCCTTGTCCTATTGTTGTCTATAAGGTAATGAAAATAGCTGTTGTGTATGCTGTCGATGTAGTCTCATATGGTCTGCGATACATCGCGTTGATTTTGCGATACTTTATGCAATTGGCAGCAGCTTCCCGTATTCTGTCGTCGATCTTTTGAACTCTTCAACAAAAGCTGGTATGGGAAAACCACATATTTTATGCTTCATTTCTAATGAAATGCTACAATCGTAATCATATCTGATTGTTACAATTCCCACATCGTTATTCTGTTTATCGAAAATGCTATTTCCAGCAAATTATTCCTAGTTATCACAGTAAACTTTGGTCGTCGTTTTTTCAGCTATTTCCATGTTTTGCCTTATTGATTTCGGTTTGTTATCAACCGTGTTGATATGAGATTTTCTGTTTACGCCTTGTCGCGGAAGCAATGCAACTCATATTGCACCATTTCAATTTTCACCGTTCGTGTTAGTGTCAGACAATTTTCGCATTAATTTTCTTAAATATATATTTGTTTTCAACTATGCAGTACTTGTTTCTTTCAGATGGTATACTATTAATCCTCGCCCAACTAGAGTTAAGGTAGCAGAAATGGATGAGGGCGACGAATATGTACCGCAAATGTCGCAGCTAGGCGATTATGGTGGAATAGGTGGCATGGGAATGTCGCAAGGTTAGTTGCCGCTGCCGCGTTCTAGTTCTCAATTTTCGCTTGACTAATCATTATCCATTCAAAAGTTAATGTTGTGAGTTTAACAATTCACTGGAGTTATATGGAGACCAATGGAAGACTTCCCACCTCTTATTGTGTCGATTCTAGGCCAGCCACCGTCCGTTCCCGGCTATTCTTCAATGAGCGGAGGTTTGACCCCGATGAATAATCCATACGAACAGCAAATGATGATGATGGGCCAGCCGTCACAACCTGTACAAAAACCTGCGCCAGCGTCGAAAAGTCGATCTAAGAAGAAGGTGTGATTTTAGAATTTTTTAATGATGGCCCGCAGTGGTGTCTTGAATAATATGTTGCTCAAATTTCTTGGTTTTCAGCAAGAAATGGATCCCATGCAAAGCATGGCTGCCATGTCAAATAATCCCATGATACGGCCATCAATGCAGCAGATGGGAGGCATGTATCCGCCCCAGGTCGGCTTACACTTTTCATTTGTCATCTCTTGTTTTGAAGTGTTGCTATAGTTCTAGTCAAAAAGTACAGCAGTAAGTGCAGCATCGCTGTAGTTTGTGGAAATGCGTGCGTTCTGTAAAACTGTCCTTCATGCTCGTTTTTCAAGAATTTCGAAACTGTTATTGAATTTTTTCTTGGTGGTGAGGGTAATTTCAAATGTTTCAGAGTGGACAAATGAACATGTACGGTGGAGCTGGCCCCCCTCAGCAATCTCCACATTTTCCTCCTCAAGGCGTTCCACCTGGTTATCGACCACAATATGCTCCTCAGCCTGGGTATCCCGGTATGCAGCAACCGATGTACACGGCGCAGCAGACTCAACAACAGCGGCCGAACGCGTACGCAGCCCCACAGCCAACAAGTGCTAACCATTACGGATATGGAGCGCCGCCACAAAGTGGTTATCCACCGCAACAGTACCCACCGCCTCAGATGCGACCGCAGTATCCTCAAGGGCAGCAAGCTGTTAGTTTTGAATCTGTACAGTTCGTTTTTTCAAGTGGAAAACTTTCTAATGTGTAACTGTTTGTTTAAAGTTACCAATGCAAAACCAGTACTGGGAGCCTCAACAGCATCCATATTACCAGCAGCAGCAACAGCAACAGCAACCTCAGCAGAGTGCTTCTAACATGCATCATAATCAACCCGATCAATGGAGTCAGCAATCTTCACAGGTAGCATTCATTTTCTCAGCCTTGAAGTCTTGTGAATTGCTAGATCTTTGAGCTTCCATCTTCTTTTCAGCAAATGTACCATTTGGAGATGGACATGCGGGGAATGCAACAAAGGCTGCAGCATTTGTATCAGCAGCAGCGAACTCCGATGATAGAGCAAGAAATTCAGCAGGTTTATTTTCATTCCGTAAATTGTTAGATTATCTGGCATTTAGTTGTGTACAAGTGTAGGCAAATTGTTCCATAAACGTACGGAAATTGCGAAGTGTGCGAATATTTGTGATTTTTCTGTGGGATTATTTCAAAATGTCGTAGTAGATTACTCGTGTTTTTATTTCAGCAGACTAAACCGTAAGCGACAAAACATAACTTAATTTTCTCTTTGGGTCTTATTTTTTAGTTTCATATCAATTTCGTAAATATCGCCATGGTCAAGATGAGGCGAGCTTTCAAGGTTTACTGTGCATAGAAATTGGTTTCCTCGGTGATTAAACTCTTACCAAGAATACTCAAAGAACTTGTCATCTTTATACTTTCAATAGATAATGCTGACCAATAAAAAATGGCAATTTCACCCGATCAAGAATGACAAACTTTATAGGAGGAGAAGAGTATTCTTTTGTCGTCTCTATTTGCGTTTATGTAATAGAGTTTGATTTTGTATTGAGATTGCAATAC